TTCTTTATCATACTTTCTACCGTATGAATTTTTGGCAAAAAAAAGACTTTAAGGGGCAGGGAGCCGATAGAGGCAAGATAATTGTTTGTTTTTATTTTGCCATCCCACCCACCCCCTTTTGATTCCCACCACGCGGCGCGGTCTTGTGGTTGGTGGAGCCCAAAGTCTGCCACTTCGTAAGAAATAATATTTCATACACTCACTGAGTGCAAGGACCACGTGAGCGGTCAACAGTATATAATATAATATATATGTATTTGGATATTATCGGAGGGAAACACTGAGGCAATTAACTGCCTCTTCGATACTTCCCTTTTTCTCTATCTTGTTTGGTTTTTGTAAATAATTTCAGGATCCAGCCAGCGGCCAAGAAGATTATTCTTTTTTAAATTTTATTTATCTTATTTGTTTCAGCTGACCCCTAAAACAGAGGAAATAAGCATCTTGTGGGATTACTATTGGCTGGAATTATTGATTTAATTATTCATTAATTAAAAAAATCTTTTAATGATATATATTCTTATTAACCAGGATGGGAAAGAAATATCTGGTTTGAATTTCAATTATTTATTTAAGGGGGAACTGGCGATCCTTGATATTGACAATTTAATCCATTATACAAATGAAGGAAATTGTACTTTGGTGAAGTCTTGTTATTATTCTTTTTTTGCAATTATTATTATTATTTTCTTTTTTACTATTATTACTATTTTTTGGCAATTATTATTATTACTATTAGGAGCTTTTGAAAAGAATGATCGCGGGAGAGCTGGCTGCCTTCATTAATGTATATGTATATCCTGATAAAACTAATGCTCTTCTTTATGATACTTTCTACCGTATGAATCTTTTGGGAAGAACGCGACTCTGTAGGGGCAGGGAGCCGATAGAGGCCAGAGTGTTTTAATTTTATTTTGCCATCCCACCCACCCCCTTGATTCCCACCACGCGGCGGGGTCTTGTGGTTGGAGGACCCCAAAGTCTGCCACTTCGTAAGTAATAATATTTCAATCCTAACTGAGGACAAAGGACCATGCTAATGGTCCACAGAATTCTATATATTGAATGAAAATAAAACATTGAAGCAATTAACTAAAGAACCTTTTTTCCTAACTTGTTTGGTTTCCATAGATCTTCAGGATCCGGCCAGCTGCCCGGAAGATTATATTATTATTATTATTATTATTATTATTATTATTATTATTATTATTATTATTATTATTATTATTATTATTATTATTATTATTATTATTATTATTATTATTATTATTATTATTATTATTATTATTATTATTATTATTATTATTATTATTATTATTATTATTATTATTATTATTATTATTATTATTATTATTATTATTATTATTATTATTATTATTATTATTATTATTATTATTATTATTATTATTATTTGATTACATTCATTTGTAACTCTACACCGAAACATCCTTAAGCACGTGTTGGAAAGGGGATTATAACCAGATTAATACAATTTCTGGATATCTTTAACATATGCATGCCAAATTAAAAACAATTTATCACGCCACTTCTCGGGAATAAAGATAATATGCGCACATTATTGCACAGCAACTACAACAGCAAATGCCTGCCGGACGACCTTAGAAATCCTAAAGAAGGAAAAAATTCAATTTTTTTATACCACTCAAAAAATTCATCTGGAGCCAATGAATTTTTACATTTAAAATCATTTCTCAACCAAAAACAAAAGAAAACTATAGAAAATGACAAATTCCAAAATCAAGAAAGTAATTAACTACACAGAAAAATTATATGTTCTTGCCTTAATTACAAACCAATAAACGGTATTGCTGATTTTCATAGTATTTATCTTTTTTTCTTTTTTCTCTTTTCTTTTTTGCCTTGTCGGGTGGTCTCTGCTTTAAGCCGTGTGGTGTCTCTCTTTGTGATTGGCGATGGAGTCTTTTACATGATTTGTCGAGGATAGACGAGAAGCACATTCATCCCCCTGTGTGTGTGTGTGTTTGTGCTGCTCCCAGACCTTTTTTTTTTCTCTCCACTTGCGCTCACTCCCATCCGTGTGTGGATGCTCGGGATATGCGACGCGACAGGGCGGGTTCCGCTTGGCGAGGCTCTTTCTCGCTCGTCAAGGACAGAAAAATTGCCGCAGAGCTGAATATTTGTTTGGTGCACAAGGAAACCGCCACCAAAGTGTTTTTGTTTTTAATTATTGAATGTTTTCCGGCGCAAGTGCCGAGCGTAGCAGGGAAAGGCAACTAATTAAGTGCTGACTGAGAGTGTTTGGGGTGTATGCACGCCGGAGAGAGAATGAGGGGGTCGCATCTGACCAGCCGGGTTCCTCGTTGTCTTTATTGGTTGCGTTGTGTGTATGTGTGCCCGCCTGCTCTGCTCCCTGCTTCTCTGAAAGAAGAGTGATTAGAGAGTGACTCAGAAGACTCCACATTGTTCAGCAAGGGTTTTCAGAAGATTTCTTGGCAAACGAGATGGACACCGAGAGTGGCAATATTGCTCCCGGAAACGATCCCGTCGTGGTGCCCGAACTGGGGAGTGAAAATGGCAGCGGGGTGAAGTGGAGGCGCACGAGCTCCGGAATGGGTGCCCTGCGTTGTTTCACAAACATAATTCCCTATGGCGGTCTCTTGTCGACGACGTTTAACCTTGCGAGCGCCACGCTTGGTGGCGGGGTGATCAGCCTGGCAGCGGGCTTTCAGATGAGTGGTGTCGCCTTCTCCATCATCCTTCTTGTCCTGGTGACGGTGTGCACTGTCTATTCGGTCGGCCTGATGATGCAGGCTGTGGAGATGACCGGCTATAATTCATACGCGGAGCTCTCAAAGAAACTGTTTGGCCGGGGGTGGGACCACTTCACGGTGGTTCTCACGTGGTTGTTCACCTTTGGCACCTGTGTGGGATATGTCATAGCCATTGGCCGTCTCCTTGAGCCCGTGCTGTCCGATCCGTCCCTGCCGGAGTTTTGGCGCTCCGAGGCTGGCAATCGCGCGGTGACAAGTGCAATCTGGTTTGTGGGCATGTTCTCGTTGTCACTGCCGAAGGAGATTAACTCCCTGCGCTACGCCTCTGCTGTCGGGGTAATTTGCATCTACTATTTTATTGCCTGCATCGTTGTGCACTCTGTTCAGCATGGATTTAGAGGCGGAAAACTTCGTGATGATGTCGCCATGTTCAAGTCGGGCAACGGGGCAATCGAAGGCCTTTCCATCTTCATGTTCTCGTACCTGTGCCACATGAATTGCTTCTCCATCTTTGGAGAAATGCGCAAGCCGAGCGCGAGGCGCATGACGCTCCACACAGCCTGCAGCATGTCTTTGTGTTGCATTGCGTACATTGTTGCCGGCTTTTTTGGTTACGCCGACTTTGGGGACGAGGTGACGGACACTGTTCTCGTGTTTTATGATGTCCGACGTGATGTGTTGATGGCCATTGCATACGCAGGAATTGTATTTAAGCTTTGCGTTGGTTTTGCGCTGTGCATGCAGCCCGCTCGCGATTGCTGCTATTACATCATTGGATGGGATGTGGCCACGATCCCTGCATGGAAAAATTGCCTTTTCTGTGGAGTTATGGCTCTCTGCGCACTGCTGCTCGGGCTCTTTATTCCCGTGCTGAACACCGTCTTTGGGCTGCTGGGCAGTTTCTGTGGCGGCACTCTCGGCTTCTGCCTGCCGGCGCTATACCGTATGTATTGTGGGAACTGGAGTCTGGGCACCGTGGGAATCGTGAATTATGTTTGCACGTACCTTCTCCTCATGGCTGGTGTGGTTGCGGTTGTCTTTGGCACAGGGGCCAGCCTGTATGGTGTGGTTCGGTAATGTGCCATCATGCTGGGAGAACAAGAGGGTCGACGGGCATGCTTCATTCAGCCCTTTGCGTCATGGAGGTGTCACGTGCGACTGTCTGCGAGCAGTGCGGAGTCGTGAAGGGTCCAATGCACTCCTCTGAGTAAAGGCACTCTATCACTTACCATTTTATTTAGGACCAATAGTGGATTCTTTTCTTCTTCTTTTTTTTACTGTGCCAGCTGCCGCACGCCAGGGCGTGGGACCTGTTCGCGGGCAGAGGCGACTGGCACAATTCTTTGGCACACGTCCCGTGCATGAAAATGATGCGTGTTGTATTTTCATTTTTTGTCTTCCCCGCCCCCGATTGTTCATGGCGCACTTAGAAACCGCCTTCGTTTTGCTCCTCTGCCCCTCCTGTGCAGGCCCCCGCGCATTTGCAATGCAAGGGAGGGAGGGGGGCGGAGGAGAAAAAGGGGAAGTACGTTTTATTTTATATGTGTAGGAAGGGGAGAAGACGCAATAAAGAGCGCGGGGATGCGTGGTGCCACATCTTTTTTTGTTGTTGTTCTTGTTTTTGTTTTTTCTTTTCTTTTTTGCCTTGTCGGGTGGTCTCTGCTTTAAGCCGTGTGGTGTCTCTCTTTGTGATTGGCGATGGAGTCTTTTACATGATTTGTCGAGGATAGACGAGAAGCACATTCATCCCCCTGTGTGTGTGTGTGTTTGTGCTGCTCCCAGACCTTTTTTTTTTCTCTCCACTTGCGCTCACTCCCATCCGTGTGTGGATGCTCGGGATATGCGACGCGACAGGGCGGGTTCCGCTTGGCGAGGCTCTTTCTCGCTCGTCAAGGACAGAAAAATTGCCGCAGAGCTGAATATTTGTTTGGTGCACAAGGAAACCGCCACCAAAGTGTTTTTGTTTTTAATTATTGAATGTTTTCCGGCGCAAGTGCCGAGCGTAGCAGGGAAAGGCAACTAATTAAGTGCTGACTGAGAGTGTTTGGGGTGTATGCACGCCGGAGAGAGAATGAGAGGGTCGCATCTGACCAGCCGGGTTCCTCGTTGTCTTTATTGGTTGCGTTGTGTGTATGTGTGCCCGCCTGCTCTGCTCCCTGCTTCTCTGAAAGAAGAGTGATTAGAGAGTGACTCAGAAGACTCCACATTGTTCAGCAAGGGTTTTCAGAAGATTTCTTGGCAAACGAGATGGACACCGAGAGTGGCAATATTGCTCCCGGAAACGATCCCGTCGTGGTGCCCGAACTGGGGAGTGAAAATGGCAGCGGGGTGAAGTGGAGGCGCACGAGCTCCGGAATGGGTGCCCTGCGTTGTTTCACAAACATAATTCCCTATGGCGGTCTCTTGTCGACGACGTTTAACCTTGCGAGCGCCACGCTTGGTGGCGGGGTGATCAGCCTGGCAGCGGGCTTTCAGATGAGTGGTGTCGCCTTCTCCATCATCCTTCTTGTCCTGGTGACGGTGTGCACTGTCTATTCGGTCGGCCTGATGATGCAGGCTGTGGAGATGACCGGCTATAATTCATACGCGGAGCTCTCAAAGAA